AAAAGGGACCTCCCTATTGTTAGAGAGAAAGAAATATTTTTTGTATAGAAAAATAATGGGTGGCACTCACTGTTGCAGGAAAGCACACCTCAATGACTTTATGCTCTCATCCAAACTTGAAGAGGCACGGGAGGTGACTAATAAAGATGTAGGAAATCCATCTGTACTATACATAGACTTTTTCTGGGATCATACAGACTTTTCTCTGTTATCAGCATGTCAAAGCCTGTGGGCTTAGATGACTTAGCAACTGTCTACTATTTGGAAAGTTAGGACCAAGGGAGGCTGAATCAGCTTCTGATGGTGGCACCCCTCTTCCACTGCTGATAAATGCAGTTTAGGATGATGTAGTCTAGCTTCTTTCTCAATTGGGCCTGAGCTTCTTCAGCCACTAGTAAATTGAATCAGCCCAGAAATATTCCCAGGCATTGAGGTCAACTAGCACGGATGTTTGCATCTCTTCTTGAAACCATGTCTTAACTTCCCTAAAGCAGCAGCTACATGCAAACAGCTCACTGGGATGAACCCTGATCTCGCTAGCTGTTGTGGACCAAAGTGTGACAAGGACACTGGCTTAGCAGTTTGTGTATGCCCAGTCACATTCCTGTGAACATTCCCAGACACTGCTTAACTTGCTTAAGACAGATACAGCCTAAGACACTCGTATGACATATGTCCTTCTTCCTCTTTTACTGTTCAAGATCATCTCTTTCCAGCCAGGAGAAGGGAATCTTACGGCTTTAAATTTGGTTGCAACAATAATCTTTTGCTGGTTCATTAAATCATTCTTACTTAGTGAGAAACTGGAGATTATTGTCTGCAATAAAAGAGTAATTGCAAGGAACCAGTTGTTATGTGTTTAAAATGACAAAGATGGTATACGTGGGCAACTTCATAAACAAACCACTGTCCTCTCTTTCCCATCCCACACCACTGCCATCAGCTTGATACTACATATTCAACGTCTGCAATTTCAAATTTCATACCCCTCAGAAAGCATCCCATCTCAAGTACTTGCTGTATGTTCTAACCATACCACATTGGAGAACCATTGTATGTCCTGTTAGAACTTCTGTGCTAAACTGCCCAAGGCAAAGAGTCTGTTTCAGGAGTCCTTCCAGGTTATGAGAAAGCACACAAACCCACATCACGAGGTCAGATCTTGGCATGATGTCATCCTAGTATGGGCAACCCCACAGGGACGCAAGAACTTCAAGGCAGGCAGAGGAAACATTTTGTACCTACACCCTCTTCACCACACACACCACAAAGTGGAAGGGTTTCAAAGCTCCATCGGAAGCTCTTACTCTCAGGTGGCAGCCATTCAGAGGAAGCCATTCCTTTGAAGGGCTTCACTTGTGACAATACTCATCCATAAGCATTATCTGTACAGCAACCAACTTGTGGTTTGCAGATGGAGCTTGAGAGGGAGTACTTTATGTTAGTGAGCCGGCTGTATTTCAGCAATGGCAGTTTCTTGGTGAACAAACAGTATCAAAGCTGCCATCAACCCTTTGCATTGCCTGTTTTTGCCAGGAGACTTGTGTTAGGCAGCTGAGGCCTCCATCCATATCCTATTTGAACACTTCTGTGTCCCTGGCTGCTAAAACTACCATGTGAGCTCACAACCTCAATCTTCAATGGCCGCTCCCTGTCTTAGTAACCTGTAATGCCAGGAGGATGGTGGTTGACTTCGTGCCAACAGAATCCAATACCTTATGATCTAGTGCAAAAGGTAAGAGAAGTAGGAAGCTCAGGAGGCACCTGATTGAAGAGGCTGGGGGAGATACGAAGAGACAGTGTTCTGCTGTGAATTTCCTCCACCTCCATAACCTTCTAATTTTCAAAGAGTTTACATGGGCTGTGGCAGATACTGTTCTCCAGGCCTGGTTTATCAGCTTTCCCACTACATTGACAGCACTTTGGGATTCAGCCCTCTTCCTTCTTTCCAATGGGAAAACGAACAATTTGTCTTCTAGATGAAGCAAAATGTTTACAACTCAGTTACCCCCATGTTAATCATATATAGAGCTATGCTACATACTTCATAATCAGCATGGACTGCATGGGTATGGGTTTATGCTCAGATAGACTCAAATGCATTTACATCAGACTTCACAAACATGTGTCCATCCTTCCTTCTTTCCAAAAGTGGACACAGCAGACAGACCAAACTTTTGCACAACCATTGCCAATGTGCAGTCGTGAATGGGTATTCTTTTATGTCCAGTTATCAAGAAGGCTGAAGATCCAACTGGCCATTAACATAAAAAGGAGGCTAATTTAAACCTACAGCAAAGTTTAAGGAGTAATCCTGCATAGGCAGGTAGGTAAGATCAATGTAAAAGCTGTCCTTGTTTCTGTTTGGCTCTGTAAAAAGAAATACTATCAGTACTCTGCATTTTTTAAAACATGGGGTTTGGTGGTTGGTTGTTTTTTGTTTGGTTTTTTTTTTTTTCCTAAAACCAGTTGAAATAGCCTTAAACATTGCTGTTATTATCTCAAAAATGACAGACGCATTTCCATGTGAACGTTCCTCTTAGCGGTCAGATATCCATATTCACCACATACATACCTTCAATTTGGAGACTGTAGTCCCAGGACTCAGGGTCCATTTTGTGTAGATCTTTCTGCCAAAATGGAGGTTTTAGTGATAGAAAATATTGCAAGGTCACCCACAACCTTGATAGAAACAGGAGGGTAGGAGAATATTAGGAAGAAACTGTAAACTGTAATATCCAACTGTAGCTGGCAAACCCAAGCATATTTGGATTGCCTCTACCAATATTTCACTCCCTTGTTTTCCCGGCCCAATATTTCACTCCCTTGTTTTCCTGGCCCTAGTGATTAACCACCAGAATATACCAAAGAAGGATTTCCACAGGAAGGATCTCATGATAAAAAGGCTATTCCTGGCCCTCTTTCCATCACATCATAATCTGTTCACTAATATGGCTTGAGATCTCAGCTGATCAAAAGGTCATAAGATGCTACTGCTAAGTATCATTCTGTCTCTGTTCAGCCAAAGGCCTTTTTTACTCCATGCAGCAGCCAGAGGAATGCAATAGCAAAGCCTTCAGATCTGTTTGTATAATAGATGATGTCTTTGCTATATGGCATTTATCTTCCTTCAGGGAGTGACAACTGATAAATAGATTTCTAGTTCCCAGTGAATTTAAATAAAAAAAGGCAAATCATATGCCTGCACACTGTAAATATGTCAGTGCAGAGGACATGAGTTCTCACTCTTCCACCATTTCTTTTGCTAAAAAAGTGCTGGGTACCATCAAATTCTGCCAAAATCAAGGCAGGGCAAACCTTTGAGGGCATTACAAAGAGGATGATGATAATGTAGGAGGGACTAGAAGATGTGTCACTCATTTAGACTAACGAAAGTTTACAACTTAAAAAACAAAGCCCAAAGAAAGTGGCATTATCATCATATTAATAGGAATAATGGAGTGAAAATGTAGGGAGATCTAGTAAATGGAGGGATGTGTTTCCCAGTGAATAAAACTAGAGTGGACAATTTTCAAACACCCTGGAATGGACGAAACTGTACCCAACACCATTGCGCTGTCCGGTTGGTCACCTCTGTACTGCAGTGTGCAGGTACCAGTGGGTCTGTGAATGCCAGCCATTGCCCCTTGCAATGACTACAGCCTCTTCTCTGCCCATCTTGCATCTGAGAGGTTCAGCATGGGCAAAACCACAGATTGATGCCCAAAACAGTAGGAAAAGAGGATACCACTGCCAACAGCTACCTGCCACCTGAAGCCCTTGTCCAGCAAGTCTGCAGAGGTAGTTTCTGTGAGCATTATAATTGGAAAAAACATCAGTTTGTGTTTCCTGCACACCTAAATAATTGTCACAACCAAATTAAACCACTCAGCACTTCCCAGACTATTCACCCACTGCCCGCCTCTCCATACCCAGAGCCCTACACTGGGGGCAACAGACAGTCCCTTTAACAGCAACTGGCAGTCACTTTGCTCTTCTCTGGGCTTTCAAAGCTGAGAGCCATCAAAGATTAGCAGAAAAAATCATGACTATTTTTCCCTAAGAAGCAGCACTGGTAATAGGCTTCAGGAAAAATCCTCCTAAATGCAAGTGATAAGCGCAGACTGTGTGAAGGCTGACAGGTCTGATTATAATTATCACTGCAAGGGGACCACCACGAACCTCCCTTCTGGAAGTCAATGACAACTCCTAGAAGGGAATATGCAAGCGAATTATCATAAATAAAATCATTGCAAGTGGAATTGTCTTTCACTGAGAAGCTAAATAAGGCCTAATTTGGGAAAAAAAAAAAAAAAACAAAACAACCAACCAAACAAAACCCTGAGCACTTATTAAAGATCATCCATGTAGAAACTGGCACTTGTTTGTACACTTAAGTTTCACTGACTTCAGGACTTCAAGAAGATAGGAATAAAGGAATGAAGAACACATGATGCATGGGGTGGAGCCATACATGTAAAAAAGTGCTTGGAAATAAAGGATACCTTCTGAAACCACACTGAAAGATCATTTCCTGCAACATAACGTGAATAGAGAATCCCAGAGATTATGTTAGCCCAGACTGAGCTAAGTATTCAAAAATAAGATAAAACTCAGCCTTGTACCAACCTTTCTCCTTTCCTCATATTTTAGCATGAAGAAAGTGAAAAAGAACCAACACAGAGCACTTCAAACTGCATGTACACATTGACCAAAGTATCACAACATTAGCTTTCAGCATGGTTTTGAGGTAGATATTGTAGATACTAGTCCTTCAAGATCATCTTGCACTAACGTTTTTTTGTCTTTTCTCTGACAGTATTATATTTTCTTAGCCTGTTTTGGCATTTCACATTCTATTTCCACAAGAAACTCAGAAATAGAGAAACATGGGCAGTGTGACGTAAGAATAGCAGTACAGTAGCTTCTTCTTTTAGAACACAGGAAAATGGGTATTATCTGCTTAATAGTGGGCTATTAATAGCCCAGTTAATAGTGGGCTATAACTGCAGAGAAGATGAGGAGAAGAGCTTCAGAGTCAAAGGCAATTCTAGGAGTTTCGTTCTCATCATATCTCAATGGAGTGAAGCAAATAAATTGTACAAGGAGACATATGGAAGCTCACTACACAAATGTCCTATTTAAGGCTCCTTCTTACATTCTGATTAGGTCCTGGTGTCCAGAGGTTGGTAACAATTATTCAAACACAGCTCATTTGGATACAATACAAACTGTTCTGAAACCTGAATCATCATAATGGCATGAATTAAAAAGAAGCCTGATTTAGAATCGTAGAATCACGGAATAGTTATGGTTGGAAAGGACCTTAAGATCATCTAGTTCCAACCCCCCTGCCATGGACAGGAACATCTCACACTAAACCATTTCACCCAAGGCTCTGTCCAACCTGGTCTTGAACACCACCAGGGATGGAGCATTCACAACTTCCCTGGGCAACCCATTCCAGTGCCTGACCACCCTTACAGTGTTAGCTTGTTCTTTTTAGACTCTTTTGTTTAGCACTTGAAATATCAGTTTCCTTGCTACATACACCTACTTTTTTTGTCCAAAACTGCAATAATGGCCTGGAAGGGGAGAACGAAATAAAAAAAACTTTCACAGCCACAAACCCTTGTTCTTACCTTGTTCACGGATTTTGTCACTGCACTCTGCACAGGGAACCCACAGTCTCGTCCCAGATTCTTCATCTGACTCTGTGGAGTTTCCCAGAGCAAAGAGAAAAGAGAAAACCTTTATTGCAGGAATGGCTGCACAGAAAATGGTCACAAGCATCCAGAATTTCACTTTGCCCTTCTCCATTTCCATATATCCTACTCCCTGCCCACCACCACCTGAACATCCAGTGCTGGGGTTCACCTTCAGCGCTGCTCAATTTTGGAAGGTCCCCCAAACTCCATAACCCATGCAGGTGCATAGGTTTCCCCTCCGAGGTAGCCCTGGTAAGTGTATTGGCATCACAGGGCCATTCCAGCTTTCCCCAGCAGCCTCAGGGCACAAAATGAGCTGCGATGGCAGGGAATGATGCCATGGATTCCTATGACAACCCGCTTTGGAAAAGCTTGGGAAGAGTAAGAAGGTGTCACAGGATGCCAACCCGCCTGCTTTGTTTAACAGTTAAAAGCAGGGAGCTGAAGCCAAGGATTACCACATTGCAAAACCATTTAAAACAGGGTAAATGCTTGTGATTCAACATCATGACTGCAGCAAGCTCACTCTGCCCTGTGCTCCTACACTTCTAGTATGAAAATTAGAACTTCTCCCCTTCTTCCCTTCTCACCTCTTCTTCCTCTTTCTCCAGCTCTGCAGCCCTTCACACAAAGGTGAAATATTTTACATTTTCACCTGTGGTGACTCAGATCAGAGAGCGCTTGCTTTGCTTTGCTTTTCATTGATTTTGTCCAAGGCATCCTTTTAAGCAGCAGCCTGTGCAAAGATAATAGGTGGCACTATTTGCTGTAACTGGAATCAGCAACAAATCAACCATCTGCCACTTCAGAGGTCTGAGATTAACCCAGCTACTGGACTGTGACTGCAAAGCATTTGCGCATGTAGATTGCAAAAATGCAAGGTTACTGGTCAAAAAAAAAAAAAAAAAGAAAGGAAGACTAGGAGTGGAGAAGGTGTGGCAGAAGGGGTGGAAGACAAGCCTTGGAAGAATCCTCCAGATTAACCCTTTCAGACACAAGTCCTCTCATAACAACTCCAAGCTGACAACGTTTCTCATTATAAAGTGTTAAAATGATGGAGAATTTGAAGGAAGTAACTTGAGATTCGTGAGACATCATGTTCAAGGGAAATACATCCAGAGACAATGCTCTGACACAAGGAGCAATAAAACCAAAGACATTCAGCTGCCTTGTCAATGCCTTGCCGGGCTCTTTGGAAAGCATGAACAAGCTGCCCAGATGGCTTACTTGGACCACCTAGAAAGTCCAAGAGTAATATTTTTGTCACAAGATGGACAAGATCTGTTACACATGCTATGTTACTTCAGACGCCACATTGCTACTTTGTGTACCTGGATACTGCCAGTCTACATTCGTATTTGTCTATACCTGCGGTATCCTCTCTATAAATCTGTTGGGAATTGTTACTTGGTAACTGAAGTATTAAGAGATTTAAATCAGTAGTAAATACAATCTGGCTCCACATCTGAAAGCATGAGCCGTGATCTTGTGCAGCTGCATGGTGGGTTAGGGTCTCCTCTGCTTACTTTGATGTGGGCTTTAATCCCCATTCTTGACATTTGCTTTTGTATGTTAGAATCCATGGTCAAGTATCTCGGGATAAAAAGAGGAGGTTGTGACTAGAGAAAGAGATGCAGCTGCAGGCAAAGTTATCAGCAACGACTTCTAGGAAGTTCAGAGAAGTACAGATGGTATGTGTCCTTGGTGAAGATGGTAGCTTAAATACACAGCTTCTCTCATTAAGTCCAAAGAGGCAACTGAAAATCAAACAAGCAGCATACGTGTGCATACAAACCCATGTATTTTACTTATGTACTTTATTCATGAAGAACAAGTAGGATTTGGTGGGAGGTATAACACACACTGGCTACTCCATAGTGCATGCCTGACCCTCTTGATGACTTTTGTCATGGCTTCTTCATGCTCTCTGGGCCAAGCACTACATACCTTCATTTGCAACAAAATAAAAGAGCAAGAAGAGACAAAAGTATGTCCTCTGTATAAGCCCAAGTGGAGCTGTGGCAACTACTTGGTACAAGGCACAGCTGAGGGCCGAGGCAGAGCAAGGGGTCAGTCACTGAAGACACCTTACTCCATACGAAACCTCCTGGCATCACCTCAGAAATCTGTGCACCTCCCAACAGTGTTGATTTGGGACTGAGCTTTCGATCCTCTGCAGAAGAAAGACCATCGGTCTGCAAAGAGCTGTGAGAAGAATGTGAGGAGAGCAGGCTGGATAACACCTTTAAGTCCCCTTAAATTACCCACTATTTATCACAGTATTTCCAGAAGGCATTGCTTGGACAGAATTAGGTTTTCCAAAACCAGGTCTATGTGTCTGAAACCAAAGGTGAGGTTTGAAGTGGTTTGGATACATACTAGGGCATGGTTTTGAGGTGAGAGAATGGCCATGCGGATAATCCCATGCCTGGGACTACAAACTGGGCCAAGCTAACAATCCAACAACTCACAAGCTTCTGAGATGCAGCAAGTTAATGAGCCTCAGCCTGTGCTTTAGAAAGGTCTCCTTGAACTTGATCTACTGGCTGTGTGAGTGCTAAAACTGCTGTTAAAACAGGATCTGGACCTGTTTTCAAACCCAAAGGCAGGAGTTTTCTCTTTCTCTAGCCTCTAATTTCTGTAAAGCCAACCTAAAACTTCAGATCTGGAAGGGAATAATCCAGAAAGGATATGCTCATGTGGTAGTGGAAAATCTTTGCATTCAGCTTCAACTATTGAACTACTACAAGAAATGCTTATGCTGGTAATAATTTAAAAGGGTTTTAAAAAAAAATCAAAACCTCATTACAAAAGAAAAAAAAAAGGGTATGCTTATGTGTCTTTTCCTAGCCTGTGAATAGAAGGAAGAGGGGACAAGTCCAGGGCAAAACCTTCCCTTTTAAACAAATATCACAGCAAAACTGCAGCTCATCCCTTACAAATAAATTCACCTTACGTGAACTGCTGTTGAAGTTTCAGCAGTGTATGACATTTTTGTTTGTTTTATTCAGGCAGGCTTTGTAGGAAGGTGCTTTTGCAACCGAAGCACCGACACTGCATTAAACAAGTGCTCAGCTGAGCCACGGAACCGCCTGGAAGTTGCCTCGCCCCCTCAGCAAATGGAAAGAGGAGGGGAGCACAGATGCAGGTGACGCTGCACCTTGCAGAGATTTACGTGTCCTACAAGTAACCTTGTATCAGGATACAGAACCATGAGAGCAGCCTTATGGGTATGGAGAGAGGAGGACAGCGAGGAGGGGGGGAAGGAGTGGCAACAGGAAAACAAGAAACTCCGAGGGAATCAAGCCTTCTCTTCCTCATGAGCTAAAATTAATGAAAAATCTAAATTCCTCCCTGATACAGAGACGGTAGGAGGGGATGAGCACACGCACCCTTTCTCTGCTTATAATCCTTTCCAGTGAGCACCGTAACAAGCACACATGGGCTAGACACTAGCTACAAGCAGAGATTTTCTGCCACACTGAACTAGATCCAGGGTTCGAGGTGCTGTCTGCCTTCTGTCCCTCTTCCACTTCAAGTCCCCAGCAAGGGTCCCCTCTCTTTCCAAGAACCCCCAAATATTACAAGCGGTGAATGGAGAAGAAAAGGGTCACATTTACAAGGCAAAGGGGAAGCAGGGAGGAGGGGGAACACCCCTGAGCCTGGCTAGCAGCCCCGTGGATGCAGCCATTCTCATTCCTGGCACGTTCAGCTGCTCTTCAGCGCAGCCCAGCTTCGAAATATTAGTGCGGTGCAGAGTGCCATTTTCGAGTCACTGCAGCTCCTTCTTGGCACCGGTTCAGCTTTTTGTCTTGCCTTCTCCTCCAAGCACCCAGTGGAGGGAGGAGGAAAAAGGAAGAAAACTAAGCTCCGCCGCTTCACCGATGAGGCCACCAGCCTCACTGCAGCACCCCCAGCCCTGCCTGCGGCACCCCATACCCTCACAGCCTACTCCCAACCGAACCACTCTGCAAACATAAATCTCTTTCCACCTCCACAGCATCCAGTTTACAGCCTCCTTCCCCTCCTCACTACCCCTTTTCATCTCTTTCTCCTTTGTATCCCTCTAAATTTTTCTAGCCAAGCATTACAACCTTCCACACACCCCCCTTTCTCCTTCATCCACACCCCTCCCACTTCCTCCCATCACACTGGCAAAAGAAATCGTGCCATGGTTGCCAATGCACTGGCATCTCCTCAGACTGGAGAGCCACTGCACCCACAACACACCTAGCAGCTTCAATCCAGCTCACAGCTTCCCAAACTGCAGTGCTCAGGATTGCTCACACATGTGCACATGCACATGTCAAGGGGCAGGACACACTCCGTTTGCACCCCTTGTCATTGCTGTACATGCAAACTTCCTGGAAGCTCACATTTGGCAACCCAGTTCCTCCTCCTGATTGTGGGGCAGGCAGAAAAACAGAGCCAGAATAACAAGAGAGGGAGGTAGGGTGTTTTTTTTTAAGCAACCCAAACATGGCACTGAGCACTTCCACTAGCAACTTCTCAGCCTGCTGTGCTGGCAACCAGCTGCTGGTTCCAGCTTGGCACCAGCTTTGATTTGTTTTTCACTCCTCTTAAACGCCCTCCTCCCAAATATTTATTCTCTTATTTTTTCATTTTTGGCTTGTCTTTCTTTTTTTTCCCTTTTTCCCTCTTAGCTTGTCCATAGAGGGAATCCTTCCCACTACCATGCACAAATCCAAAGCAGCACATGAAGATGGAGTGCCAAAGGGAGTGAAACGTGAATGGACCAAGAAGAGGGGAAAAATACCCCATACATATGTGCAACATATGTCTGCTCTTCTCTGAGGATGAAGGAGAGAGTGAGAGATTCCCTAAAAGCACGCAGTACAACTCTTGCGCATGCAAGGATGTACAACCCCCAGCCCCTTCCACAAAGGAGGGAGGAGACAGGTCTGGCTGGGAGACAGAAAAAGGTTGAGGCAAAAAATGCAAGTTCTGCATGGAAAACATCCGAGAGAGCCAAGTTTCATCCAGCA